TAATCTATCCTTAGATTTAAGGATAGGTTAATGGATGTACTTTACAATACTCTGCACAGATTGGCTTGACTTAAATCTAAGGATAGGTTAATGGATGTACTTTACAACACTCTGTACAGATTGACTTAACTTATGACTTGTTTGGTTTGTTTAGCTATAAGAATCGTCAATTAGCTAGCTTCAAAACTCTTCTTGACTAAACTGAAATGACATTGGGGAAAAAGTTAGACGAGAATTAGAAAGAGTGAATCAAAAGAATCAAAAAAAAAAAGAGTGAGACTGCTGTGAAGACAGGAAAAGTGAAAAAAAAGCATCAGTTTGCCATTGGAGCTTTTCTTTTGCTATTTCTTTCTCAAAAATCTTTTTCCCAAAAACGGGTTATTCACTCGGCATGATGTGACACAAAAACCTAATGCTTTGTGAATGAATTGGAAACTATTTTTCTAACCAAGAGACAGCTCTTTCACTCTTACAAAACTTTCGCATCTTTTTTTCAATCTTTTAAGATCGTAGTCAAAGTCATAAACAATTCATTTACCTTCTCCAGTATTCAATTGATTCATTATGATTTAATCCGTTCAGATCAATCAATCAGATCTTTCATTTTAGAGATTTAAACTTTGATTTTAGTTAGATGGATTGAGCATAATTTAGAAAACAATCAATAACTGAATAACAAAACAGCTATGTTTTTAAATCTAATAGCTACGAAACAAAAGAATATTTAGAATCAATCAATACTTTAATTCTCATCATTCACCTTCACAAAAAGCTGAATCTAAAAGAAACGTAAAGCTTTTTTCCTGGCCTTGATCGAGGGATCGATGGATGGCCTATCCTTCGTTTCTTTTTTTTGATCCGATCTCTCTTTCTCTTCTTTTTAAAAACGAGCAGCCCCAGGGCTCAATCGTTTTTTTTTGTCGTTTTCTGGGGGCGATGCCTTTCCCCCAATTTTCTGCTTTCATTTCCCTTCCTCATCTCTCCATTCATTCCTAACTAACTCTATCCAAAAGGGCAACACATTTCTATATTTAATTTCAATTTTTAAACTCTTTTTTAAAGAATTTAAAGCACAAAATCTATTGATTACTTTCAAAAGTCTTTTTTTAGTAAAACTAAAAAAAGACTTTTGAAAGTAATCAATAGATTTTGTGCTTGTATAATATAGCTTGTATAATAGAGCTTGTATAATAGAGCTTGTATAATAGAGCTTGTATAATATAGCTTGTATAATAGAGCTTGTATAATAGGCTTGTATATAGAGCTTGTATAATATAGCTTGTATAATATAGCTTGTATAATAGAGCTTGTATAATATAGCTTGTATAATATAGATTGTATAATAGAGCTTGTATAATAGAGCTTGTATAATAGAGCTTGTATAATAGAGCTTGTATAATATAGATTGTATAATAGAGCTTGTATAATAGAGCTTGTATAATAGAGCTTGTATAATAGAGCTTGTATAATATAGCTTGTATAATAGAGCTTGTATAATAGAGCTTGTATAATAGAGCTTGTATAATATAGCTTGTATAATATAGCTTGTATAATAGAGCTTGTATAATAGAGCTTGTATAATAGAGCTTGTATAATAGAGCTTGTATAATAGAGCTTGTATAATAGAGCTTGTATAATAGGCTTGTATAATATAGCTTGTATAAAGCTTGTATAATATAGCTTGTATAATATAGATTGTATAATATAGCTTGTATAATATAGATTGTATAATAGAGCTTGTATAATAGAGCTTGTATAATATAGCTTGTATAATATAGCTTGTATAATATAGCTTGTATAATATAGGTTGTATAATATAGCTTGTATAATATAGATTGTATAATATAGCTTGTATAATATAGATTGTATAATATAGCTTGTATAATAGAGCTTGTATAATATAGCTTGTATAATATAGCTTGTATAATATAGATTGTATAATATAGCTTGTATAATAGAGCTTGTATAATAGAGCTTGTATAATAGAGCTTGTATAATAGAGCTTGTATAATATAGCTTGTATAATAGAGCTTGTATAATAGAGCTTGTATAATATAGCTTGTATAATATAGCTTGTATAATAGAGCTTGTATAATAGAGCTTGTATAATAGAGCTTGTATAATATAGCTTGTATAATATAGCTTGTATAATATAGCTTGTATAATATCGCTTGCAAAGCTTGTATAATATAGCTTGCAAAGCTTATATAATATAGCTTTAAATTATTTAAAATAAAACTTTTTAAAGTGAAAAACAAGGGAAACGATTTGATAAAATCATTTTTCTTTCATAAATTTTGTTGTATAACTATGACTGCTTTAGGATGGCAACTGATGGTTTTAGAGATGATTTATTATAGTTTATTTTAGTTATTGATTATAGTTATAGTTATAGTTTTATTGTTTTAATGCCAAGTTTGTTAAAAAAGTAAAGAAAACTTTGAATGCTTTGATATACTTTAATTCCACGTTATCTATCTCAATAAAATGATCTTGAATGGCTCTAGGTGCTTAAGATGATCAAATTTATTCAAAAGTACAATTTGTCTTGACGTTGTCATCGCCGTGACTGTCCTCTATAATGATAGTGTTTCTAGAGAGCGTGAAAACAATCGACTATCCCCTCTCAATCGTTTCGATTCTCAAGAGTCCACAAAGCATTGATAGGGGTCCATCAATTGAGTCAGCCGCTCCCCACCATAAGAACCAGCAGAAAGGGAGAAAGGGAAAGAAAGCGAGGGGAAGAACTGTGCACGATTGATAGGCTTGGCGAGTAAAAGCGCCTCCATTCATGCTTTTCTGTCTACTTTCTCTTCTGACCTATTGATTGAGGGTTTGGTTCCGGTTTTCGAAAGAAAATCTCTCGTTTTCAACTAGTTTAACAACATTGTTGATCTCTATGATGTTATCAAAACTGGCTCTATCATGTTATCAGTTTTGGGTTCTCATTTGATTCCCATTTGATTCTCATTCAGCTAAAATCAATATTTCAATCGATAGATTAGTAAAACTTAGTTTTTATCAAATTTCTTCGATTAAAAAAAGCCTTTAGTTAACTTTAAAATAGTTCTGTTGAAGTGATTTCCCTCATTTTCCATTTCCATTTCTTTTCCATTTCTTTTCCATTTCCATTTCTCCTTTCTCCCGTCCAAATCGACCTTCTCTCGGGAGAAACAGAAGGAAAAAGCGAAATCGACCTTTTTTCTGCCTCTTCTCAAAAGAGAGCAAAGAAATCGTTGCCATACAGGGTGGAATGAGAAAGGCTGTCACATTAAAGGAGAAAGGGAACAACCGGTCTCCCGCCGATTCGAGTAGGCAACCTATCCACTCCTCCTTTCAAGGCATAAAGGAATCCTTTAGAAAACCAAACCAACCCTCAACCAGTAGATAGTTCTTTTGATATCTTTTTAGAAAAGTTATCAGAAACCAACTCTTAACTTGCTACCTTAATTTTTACTCTTTTCAAATAATTCTATCCTCAATTTACTGTATCATTTCAATTTTCAAAAAAAAATTCAAGTTTTTCTAGTAATAAAGTTGTATTAAAGTCAATATTGAAAGTTTTTCTGTATTGGAATTCATTTTATATTGCTTATCACCGAAATTCTGTGCATTTCTATCAATTTTTTGCTAAACTTTAGCCCAACTTCAGTCCATTTTCAACCACAGAATTTCTCAATTTCAATTCACTACTTCAAATTTCAATTCAGTTTCAGAGATTGGGAATGGTGGTTGAAGATGGAGCACTGGTTTCCCCTTTTGGCCATTCTTGGCCATCTTTTGGTCATCCATCTTGGCCTTCTCCCCTCCCCATTCCACTCAGTCATTCAAAGACCACCGTCAACCCCAACATCGAATTGGAACCGATTCTCTTTCTTCTCTCTTTCTCATTCTTTTCAAATTTCCTTTCAAATCACATGCATTTTCGATCCAATACGAGGCGTTCCGCTATGAATAAGAAAAGCAAAAAGTAAAGAGAACTTGCTTTTATAGTAAAACCTTGAAAAAAAAAAGTTGGATACGGTTCTCGAGAGCTGAACGAGCTCGAGTAGCTCATTCAACAGTATGGCAAACTTGCTAACTATTTTGTGTTTAATCAAATCTCTATCAAAGCTCAAGTAATTTTAGTTTGAATTCCTTTGATTACAGTTGATCTTTTTGTGAGAATTGAGTGCTCTGATATGTTATCAGAATTTTGTTTTTAAAACCAACTCTTAACTTGTTCGTTTGAATTCCTTTCATTACAGTTAGCTTTTTGGGAGAATTGAGTGCTCTGATATGCTTTTTATTACTTTCAAAAATCAAATTTGAATTGAATCAATCTAAAAATGGGCTTAATCCAGTCTTAAAACTTTGCTTAGATATTCAAGATTAAAAAAACAGATTGGAGAATGGGTTCATTATTTAAGAACACGTTGATTGTGAAGATTGTGAAGATTATCGATTCCATCGACGTGATAATGTTATAGAATGATTCAATCCAATAATTGACTCATTTCTAACCTTTGAAAGTAATGTTAGCATCGGTTTTTCCCGATTGATTATCGATTCCATGGACGTGATAATGTTGTAGAATGATTCAATCCAATAATTGACTCATTTCTAACCTTTAAAAGTAATGTTAGCATTGGTTTTTCTTGAAAAGAAAAAATCTGGTAGGTGGCACAATAAAGAAATGATTCGTGTTGTGTGTGGAAAGGGGAATCGAGGAGAAACTGTATGGAAAAGTGGGCGTCACATTTCAACAGTATCGATCCCTTATTTTCCCCTATTTTCCCCCCAAAAAAACTCCCCCTTTCCTTTTATCAATACAGTGATTTCACCGAAAAATTTCGTACATTGTTTTCTTTTCTTAATCATCGTCCTTAATCACTTCTCATTTTTCAGCTTTTCCCCCATTTCCTTTCTCGATTTATTCTTAATTAAATGTTTTTCTATTTTATGGATTATTTGGGGGTTAATGCTCAAATTCAAATCATAATCTAATCTTTTTTTTTTAGATGTACGACGAGAACTCAAATGCATCGACGACAACCGCTGTCTCGTCGGCTTCTGTTCTCCCTGGATCAGCACTCACTCAACCATCATCAGCTCTTGTATCACAATTATTGAATGGAAAGGATTCACGCTGGTTACAAGTCAGTTTTAAAAGACTAGAATGAATTTGAATTCAAAAATTCACTATCCAACATTGACATTGACAACATTGGCAACAAATTTAAGGATTTTTCAGTCTTTACTTTGTCTTTCACGAAATTTAAAGCCACAATCGGTTCATAAGATTCGATTTTCAATGCAAATTATAAAAAGTAGAGATGGAATGAGTTTCTGGAAATATTGTAAATGTAAATGTACGACAGCTATCTATGTTAGCTGTAGACCTGAGAATTTGTGACCTGGGCATTCTGGGATAGAGAATCCACGGAATTTAAAGTAAATTTAAAGTAACAATCGTTTCATAAAATTCGATTTTCAATGCAAATTATAAAAAGTAGAGATGGAAGAGTTTCTGGAAATGTTGTAAATGTAAATGTAAATGTAAATATCTATGCAAATGACTTGAGTCAAATATTCTGATCAGATTAAATCTTTTGCAAGTGCAACAAATCCTTTGCAAAACTTTTGATTACGACTTTTTCCAACATGTGATCAATCGGTGCATGCGAAAATCGTTTTCGGGTACTACTCGTTTTTGGAAAACCTCTTTCCTCACACTCAAAACAAAATGTGTGTATGGATGGGCAGCTGCCAGAGAAGGGCCCCCTTTCCTCTGTCCATTCCCTTGTCATACCGCATGACGAATCACCATTCTTTTTTCCCCCATTTTCATCTTCTCAATCTTTTTTCACTCACACTCATCCCGTTTCTTTATCCGTTCCATCGGTCGAGCGATTTTAGGGGCTTATTTAAAAGCTAGGCTTGTCCAATAGTTCCAGAAGTTTTAAACGAAAATTTCAGTAGTGAACTTTCTTTTTTTTCTTTCTCTCTTTCTTCCTTTCTTCTTCTCCCTTGTCTTTTCTTCTTTCTCTTGGCAAATTAAGGTACATATAGCTGAGTGGTTAAAGTAATTCCCTGAAAAGCAAAAGATGGTTCAATCCCCTCTACCGAAATCTACTTTCACTTCTTTATTAACCTAATTTTGACTGTTAGCCTGACCTAGTGTATATAGCTAAATTTTAGCAAGGATCAGTACATAAATTTTTGACTTTAGTCCACTGAATTCTTCTCACTTTCCTTAATGTGAGAGTGTGGAATTTAGAAAAATTGAATGCGGATATAGAATTTTGCAAAAAAAACAGGCTTAAAGTTAATAGTTAACTGTAAAATTCATTGACAGCATTGACTCAATAAAACCAATGATAAAACCAATGACTCAATAAAACCAATCTTCTCCATGAATCAATATTTTATATTTTTTTTTTAAAAGCTTTAAACTTTTGATTAGTAATCCCTAATTTTATTTAATTTGATTGAGAAATGAATTGGGAAATCTGTCTGGAAAAGGGAGAAACTTGCTGAGAAGCTTCAAGGGTTTTGGCAGAGAATTGAAAAGAAAGCAAAGAAATCTGTCTGTCTGTCTGTCAAATTGAATGGCTCAATTACTGCCTCTTTCTCTTCGCATGGTTTCAAGCCAAAACTGGAAACATTTCTAAGGCATTGACGGGAAAAGCTTTAGAGATCTACATCGAGGTGGCTGGATAGAGGATTTGGAAATTTTACTCGAGTTTTAGATTTAAATTTAAAGTTGTTGAAAAATAGCTAGGTGAAAATAGCTGATTGAGCTCAGAAAACTGATAGATTTACTCTAGGAATAAAAATCAAAAATAGCTTTCATTAGCATTGAGTTTTCCAATTTCAAAAGTATTCCAAAACTTTGAAACTTCTCGAATTTTCTGATAACACTCTTTGATGACAAAGAGCAACAAGGAAGAAAAAAATTGTCTCATACAGTAATGGGTTTCGAAAAGAAAACATTTAAGTTACCATGACGATCTCTTTCCTTTTTCTCTTCTAGAGGAAATTGCTTGAAGTACCCACCCCTCTTTTTGAAATAAATGCCATCCAATGAGCTTCTTTCTCATACTGATAAAGTAATGTAAAAGAATTTTGATGAAAAGTATTGTAATTTAGCTAAAAATAGACTATTTTTTAAAGTTATTTCTATTTTTCAATCGCTCTATAAAATTCCTTCTATTAGAGGCTTTTTCAATGATTAAAAAAATTCGTAGAAAACGGTAGCAGCTAAAAAAAAACAATTTAATCGTCAAAAAAAAGCTTCTCGATTTCATTATCGTTACTTCAATCAAGATCAATGCAAGAATATTCAAGAAAAGCTACTGATTAAGGAATAATGAACTTTAGGGGGGTGGGACAAATGCGACCTTTTTTTTCTGGAAAAGGCCTTAGCCAAGGCCGTAGAGCTTCGAAAATATTGCGAAAATATTTCCATATAAGGGAATCTACGCATACGATTCCCTTCTATGAAAACATTTTTGAAGCTCTACGACCTTTCCTCAGGCCTTTTCCAGCAAAAAAAAAGGTGCGCAAATGTCCAGGTGCGCAAAAAAAGGTCGCATTTGTCCCACCCCGAACTTTAGAAATGATTTTTAAGCAGTTTAATCTAAAGAACTAACAATAAGCAAGAAAGATTCTTTGCTAAAAGATTGGATTTGCAAAAAAAATGATGAAGAATGCATTTCTCTCAAAGAAAATGTTTAATATACCTTTAAAAGCTTTAAACTCAAGATATTCAGTCTACTAAGCTGAATATCCATTGTTGTTGTTGCTATATACATATTTCAAAGTTAAAAATTGAATTAAATTTTTGATGGCATTGAAAAACAAAAGTTTTACGGCTCTTGTCAATGAATTTATTTTATTATTTTTATTTCAATCCAGTGGATAATCATAATCTTTTATATTCTAGGTTGAAGTGTGCCGAGAGTTTCAACGAGGACAATGCACCCGCTCGGATCAGGAATGCAAATTTGCTCATCCACCGCCGCATGTCGATGTGCAACAGGGACGAGTGACTGCTTGTTATGATTCGATCAAGGTTTTTTTTTATTTAATTAAGCATATAACTTCAAAACAAATTTTTAACCACATTTTGATCATTTTAAGATAAAAAAAACCAGCTTTTTGTATGTTTTGAGTTCAAAAACCTATCAATTTACTAGCCTTTTGATGAAATCTAAAAAATTTTAACTAGACTAAAGCCTTTTCCTAATCTAAGTACACGTTTTGATGATTGACTCATCGAATCATTGCATAAAGCTCTTGATTCTTCTCTTCAAGTCACTATAATGTGATTCATCTTCAATCCAAGTTCTCCTTTTTCTAAATGATGATTTCTAAAGGACGGTTCCAGTCATTTCTCGTTTTTCTTTCAATCGCCCGTTACTTTCTATTTAGTCTTTTTTCCTTCTTTTGCTGAATCGAGATCCAATCGATTGAAAAATTTGCAAATCTTTTACGATGTATTAAATGGATTTTAAGATGATTAAGGTTAAGGTTAAGGTTAAGATGGGTTTTTGAAAATATTGTACAGATTGTTCAAATATTAGTTACTTTAGAATAAGATAAGTTTACAAAGTTATTGGAAGAAAGTTAGAATAGAAGCTATTTTTTTTACAAAAGAGTTCCTATTTCAACTTTAGCACTTAGCAAATATGAAGAACACAATTTCAAGCACCTTTTTATCTCTTTTTGCAATCTTTAAGAAATTCTTATCTTTAGGAATTCAATCTGATATGGATGACTTTCTTGTCTCAAATTGAGTCATCATATATAGTGATTGAAGATCTCGAGCTTTAGATTATGAATGGAATTGATCTTGAAAATCTCGAGATAATGAATTATCTCATGGAAAATTTAGTTGTTAAGCAGAAATACAGGTTTTTAAGATTTCAATACCTTTTCCACACTCACAACCGTTCACTTAACAATTAAAATGACATACTCAACCAGCTTAAAGACTAAAAAAAGTATGAATGTACTACTAAAATAGCTATTAAGGCTGAAGGAATCTAAAAGATTTTAAGAACAATAAATTCCAGGGTCGATGCACACGAGAGAACCCGAAATGCAAATACCTTCACCCACCACAACACATCAAGGATCAATTGCTCATCAACGGACGCAACAATTTGGCGTTAAAGAATCTCCTCTGCTCACAAATCAATCAAACAACTGCACAACCGATTGGAGCTCCAACAATGAATCCCCTCATGACTCAACTAATGGTTAGATATTTGAAAAAGCTTTAAAGTTCAAAAGAGTGGGTTTCTCTTGGATAATTTTCTAAAATGCATCTAAGCTATTATAATCAAGCTGGCTAGACTAAACCTTGTGATTTTGCATTGAAGAATGCTAAAATTAAACTGATCAAACGAAAACTACGATAGTTTTCTACAAGAGATACATTTTAGAAAAGCTTAACCAAGAGGAAAACACTTTAAACTAAAAACATCTTTAAATATCTTTTGTAGATCATCACATGATGCGACTTTTGGAGTGTTAAGAGGTTTTTCCGTTGCAGGAATATTAAAAAAGCTTCAGCGCTCCCTAAAAAGCGAGAAAATGTATAAAATGCTTTGATCTTGTTAGTGAACACTTCATTAACGACTTTTTTTTGGTGACAATCGGAATTTGTTGATCTCTATCTCTAATTGTTGGCTTTCCGCCGGGCTGGGTTCTCGCCACGCATTTTTTGAAAACAAATCGGTTCGCTGTATTGGGCTATAAATTAGCTATTACTGAGTGGCTTCAGCGCTCATCACTCTCTCCGTTTTTCTGTCCAAGGAGGAGGCTCTCCTTGATTCAGCCACTGAAGGTTTATGGTATTTGTAAAGATTATAAGAGTGCAATAAGCTCAATATCTTGTCTTATTACAGTAGGATTAAAAGCCGACAAAGCTGGATAGCTTTTTCGGTAAAGATTAGCTTGATCAGCTTTGATTTGAAGACTCTTTCTTGTACTGTTGACTGTGATGGCTAGCACTTTTAAGATAAGATAAGAAAAGTAAAATAAAGTTTTACTGAGCACTTTTTCTTGGAAACGATTTGAAATTTGACCTCTAAAGCAGCAAGACTAAAGAAAAAGTCTTTATAATTACAATTAGAAATTTACAATACTCAAACACCTGGCTGAGTCGAGGAGAGTAAAAAGTCTATCCTCGTTTCCCGTCCTTTCCATAAGCTCGATCGATTTCAGGCGGTTCAACAGCAAGCTGCTTCTCAAGGTCTCGCCGCTGCTACAGGAATGGTCCCTACTCTTGCTTATCCCTACTATCAACACCTCATCTACCCACAACAACTCATCGCTGACCCATATCAACAGGTACTTTTTTCTAATTTCTGAAATTTTAACTTAAAATCTGGGGCTCTCTCTTAGCGCCTGTTTCTTGAGTTTCAGTTTCGCTAACTTATATATTAAGAAGAGAAATTTGTGATTTCTTTTTGTAACGACTTTGGATAATCGCACGTTTACCCTTTCGTCAAAATGCCGACAAAATTTTTGGGGCTTTGCTTTTTGATTTTCTCTTCCCGTTTAAATTCTTGCACCAGCACTAGTGGTAATTTGTTTAAGGCTTAGTCTTGAGATTTGAAAATGAAAAAAACAAGCACGGCAGCGCTTTGCGATATCGAAAGTAAAACTTTGTAAAAGGAGTTGGCTATTGGAGTGATGGATTTGAGAATTCATGTGAATTAAGATATTACTTCAATAGAAGATATAATACTGAAGCTGTAGTACTGTCGCATCTTTACCCAATAAGTTAAGATACAAATTGATCGCTAAAGTACTAGATCATCCCAAGCCAACCCCTTCCAATTGCCATTTGTGTGGAGTGCTCTCTTTTGAAATGAAATCTCTAAATATCTCTGATCTCTTTGGCATGGCTTGTCTGTTCAGCTACAACAAGCCGCTGGCCTACAAATGTCTGGTGTGGGTATACCTGGACATCAACCCTCGTCAGCTACTGCACTTCAAATGGCTCTTCTTCAACAACAACAACAACAGGCGGTGGCTGTTGCCGCTCAACAGGCACTCCTCGCATCATCTTCTAGAAAACGACCGCTGGAAGAAGAACCCACCTCTTCACCTGTTGATCCCTCTTTGATCTACAATCTCGCGGTATCTTTTCACTTCTTTCTTTTATATATATAGTGTGCTCGTCGTGCAATCGTGTCGCCAGGCTTTCTTGTGAGACTTTCACTTGGGGAGTTGTTGGTTAGCGAATAGCATTTGCTTTTTCTTACTAGATCAATGCTGATTTCATTCTTAGATCTAAGAATATAATCAGATACAATCAGCTTGAACAAGAGCAAGGTTTAGCAATCAACGATCTCTCCAAATCATTGCCAAATCAAAAATTAGCTTCTGACTGGCCACGCGATTGTATCGATGGGCTTAAAAGAAAGAGAGAAAAAGAGTTAAATGACTGAAATAGAAAAGAGCTAGAATTGTGTGTGGTCCCCTCTGCTGCCAATTGTTTTTGCTCTCTCAAAAATCTTTTTAATTTAAAAGTGCTATTTTGCTTTTATCATTTAGCCTTAGTCACAAGAGTTTCTTTTTTCTTTTATCTCGTGAGTGCATTCAATATAATCATTTTTCCGTTAAATCAGCAGAACAGCCGAACGGCGGGCTGCTGAGAAATCGTAAAAATCATTGCCAGAAACGAATTCCCTGTGTAGCAAAACCCCAGCATGCAAATTTCAGCCAAAATGCACCCATGGCGCGGTGGATAGCGCGCTCGCCTCACGCGCCCACGACCCGGGTTCGACTCCCGCTAGTGGCCACCTACTTTGCCTTTTTGCAAAGTTTTTTAAAAGGCACAACTACATGAAATTTAATTAGACACACGTTTCAAAGTTTTTTAAAATGCTCAAAGGGGACGCCCGTAGTGCGCGCACAGACGGACAGAGATTTTTATATCTAGTAGAGATTAGCAGAGTTTAAGATTGAAGCATTGTGTGTTCCTGTGTTTTCTAAAAGAAGAATAGTTGGAAAAACTATCGTAATCCTTTTTCGATTTAAAACTATCGTAAGTTTAATGAAAGATGGTAGCAAAATATCTAGGTTTTAGAAAAAGCATAGCTCGCAAGAAACACTCAAATGTATGCTTGATAAAATCTTAAACTTTAGCTGTTAAACTGAATATCATTAGCTTAATGCCATTATTAAAAGATATTTAGTGTTTATAGCTGAATATTCCATCCATACTATAATAGAAAAAGAGTAAAGCTACAGTATTTTTTGACATAAAATTCTATTGGCATATTCTATTCCAAAAAGTTATCAGAATGCACTCGGAGAGGACCACCACAATCAGCTCGCTTATTGCTCAGTGCTCAGCCTTTTTTTCCCTCAAAAATATCTAAAATATATCCTAGCTAAGTGTATGAGATAATATCATTCTCAAAGTTTGAAGTTTTCCACTAAAAACTGTGACAGTGTTAGAGCAAAGTGATTGCCTAAAAACCTAAAAATATTCAGTTATTCATTTCTATTTCAAAATTCGCCTTTTATTTAATGGTCACTTTGCATTTAAGTCCCCTTTTTTCATTTCATAACTCCTTCAAGTGCTTAGTCCGGTCCAGTATAAGTTTCCTAGTCCAAATTGTCTTTGTCCAATTAGCATGCCCATTTTCTAAGAGTGATCTAATCCTATCAAATATCAAAATATTCAGTAAAGATAAAAGCTTAGGCTTTCGTAGACCGGCCACTGCATCCCCGCAAATTTCCTCACTTCGCTAATTTTGTCAACAACGATAGCATGACCCTTATCATTATTTTTGGGTTTTTTTGTTATTTCTCTTAAATCAAAAATGTAGATGTTAGAAGATATAAGTAGGAGAGTTTTTTGTCGTATTTAAAGGCGGGTGTTCCGGTGAAGAGAGCCGCTGTGGACAAGAGTGGAGGAGGAGCGGCCAGTCAACAAGCGATGCTCTTCTCAGCCGCACATCAAGCGTCTCCTGCACAGACACAAGCCGCACAACAGCCATTCTCTCCCTACATCCTGCAAGGGATTCATGGATATGTGCCAACAGTTAATTGTGAGTTATTAAAAGATCTAGTAATGCTGGTTTTATTGAAAAGAGTTAATTTTAGTGAATATTTTTGTGTAGATCTTCAGATTTTAGCCCTGGAAGATCAGGAGAGGCCAAAGCCAAGTCAAAATTGATTGGCCTGTCCTGGTCAGCCTTGGTTTTGACCTTTAGATTATCAAGCTGAAATGTAAGCTGAATAAAGTCAAAGCTAAACAATCAAGATTATTAGTTGATTGCTTAGGGTAGCTAGACGCAAGAATTTCAACTATTAACATAAAGCCGGAGTTTTTTCTTGAGTATAAGTCAAATTTCAGTCAACGGGCAAGCTGGCGGACTTCCACCTCGGTTCTAGACACCCTGAATGTTTCCAAGATCCACCCAATGATCTCGACTCAAAACTGAACGAGGTGCTGCCCAATCCAATCGAATCCAATGCCCTCTTTTCCCCAAAATTTCCCCCCGTTTAGCTTCAACGGGTCAATCGCACCCTTCTGTTCCCTTTTTCTTCTTCTTCCTAGTCTCTATTTTGTTGGTGCTTTTTCTAAATTTTCTTTATTATTCAATCTATTCAAACAAATGTCTAGCAAAGTCATTCCTATTTAAAAAATTTTTCTATTTTTTTGTGACCCCCAACATAGGCTGAGAACGGGTGCTCTGAGAAAGTGAAAAGAAAAAAAAAGATACGGTCGTTCACCCAAATGAAAATAGAAACTGACTATGAGATGTTGAGCAAAGCATATAATAGCTGAGTGAAGATGCAAGTTTTTAAAGAAAATACAGTATTATTGGAAGACCGTAGGATTCTCTAATAAAGCCATATGTGGCTCTATTTTTCGGAAAAAAAATCCGGGAGAAGTTCTAATAGAGGATTTATGGTATTGTCTCTGGTTTACAATAGCCCCGATTACAGTAGTTTAGCCAAGGTTGCTGCATATGGTGTTCCTTAGCTAAAGTACGACTTTCTAATCGTCGTTACAGTACTCTTAGACTACAGTGGATTGAGCTACAAGAGTTTTGGCTAACAAATTTTAGCACTTTGAAACTTACGACGTACAGTACTATTTGTCAATTACGGTAGCTTGGCGTACTGTAACGTTTCCGGGCTTTAAAACCAATCCAAAATTTGCCGACTTTCATTGAAAACTTGCGATTTTTACTTAAAATTCCCGAACTCCTTACCCTTTCCAACCCGTGCGCTTTAAAGAAATAGTCATTTTGTCTCTATGTTTACCTTTTTTTTTTTTTCTTGTCTTTTGATTTCCTTTTCGATTCTTTATTTGTGTGTTTTTTTTCTACAAAAACTCGGTTCACCATTTTCCCCATTTCTCTTCCTCTTATCGTCGATTCACTTTGTGATCGCGTTTTTTTTTTCTTCTCTCATTTTTCTATTCTTTTTCAGTTTTATCCCTTTCAAATGGTTCTCTCTCTCTCTTGAAAAGTGCCGAACATCGGGTGCCAAATGTTAGAAAAATCGTGAAGATTGTTTAAAAAATGGAATCTTATAGTGTTTTTGATGTTTACGGGCTAGTCTGTCCTTTTCTCGCTTTCACAAATGCTCGTTTTCTAGCACACTAATCTCCTTTGCTAGGAATCCAAGTGCACCAGAAAGCGAGTGTTTAGCACAAAGTACTGGCGTTTACAAGGTAAACGCACAGTTTCTGGCGTACTCATCTCTAAAGATCTGTGGGAGGAAGATGGGGAATTTAGTGTACTAGAAAGGGAGTGTTTATGAGTTCACAAAGTACTGGCGTTTACAAGGTGGTTTTGGCGGGCTCATCTCTTAAGATCTGTGGATGGAAGGGGAATTTAGTGTGCCAGAAGTCGTATGTTTAGGAGAGCACTTTGAGTAGAAGAAAGTCGAACATCAGCCAGTGCACTAACGAAAGTCAATGCGCTAGATGCCTTGCGTTTACTAGATTTACTAGATTGACTTTTTCCATTAAGCAATCTTCACCTTCCTTTATTACTTTCTAGATTTTTTTTTTCTAAATCCTAAAAATTCTTGAAAATCGGTCTGACTTTTTGTCGGTACTTTGATTTTTCGTTTTTGTGCCAAAATTATTTCGAATGTTTTAGCTAGAAATGTTCTTGAGTGTTCATAGTTTTTTGATGTGATTTTCTTTTTTTCAATGGTTCTGCACCCATAGGAACCCGATGAGTCTCTTTTAAATATTTTTTCCTTTTTCCTTTTTCTTTCTTGAGCCTATTTCAAATTTCTCCACAATCAATTACGGTACTCTTACTGTAAAATGTAAATTTGATTTGATTTTTCTTAAATCTTCTTTGAATATTTTGAATATTTTGAATATTTTTAATATTTTGAGTATTTTGAATATTTTTGAATATTTCCATGACTTCCCCCCTCTCCCCGATAAAAACTAGTCGATGCTAGTGGATTTTCAAAAAAAGATTTTCAAATTTCAATTTTTCAATCTTCTTCAGCCAACATTGCCTGAATATCTTTCACCCACCATTCCCCACAAAACAAATTTTTCTTTTTTCAGTTTCCTTTTTGTTTATTTCACATTTTTTTTCATTGTGTAATGACATTTACTGTAAACTAAAAATGAACAAGGCTGAGACTCTTAATAATCTAAAAAATTGGTCAACGAATTATATGAATTTCCATTTTTGTTATTTTCTTATTTGATATTTGAATAGTAAATTGTAAAATTCTGAAGAGATATAAGCAAAAACAAAAACGAAAAAAAACGCATTAAAGATCCAGAGAAAAGACTACTGCGATGATACAGACATACAAAATAACTGAAACTTTAAGAGCTGATTTATGAGCTCTAGAGAGCTATGAGCTCTAGAGAGCTATGAGCTCTAGAGAGCTATGGGTTCAAATGAGTATATTTATCCAATTTTCATTACAATATGTACAGTCATGGACAAAAGTCTTGGCGGCTCCTGGGTGGCAACTTTTTCAAACGCAAATTTAGGAACCTTCCCGAGAGGCTATAAAAAAGTTGTCACAAGTATTTTTGAGCATTTTTACTCTACTTTTAGCTATGACCAAGCATTGAACGAGAAAGTTTATTTTAAACAACAAAAATAAGCGTAAACGACAAAAAGGTCACAAAATACGGACCTATAAAATATTGAATTTTTCGCCTCTATTTCTGTGCCGCCAAGACTTTTGTCCATGACTGTATAACGCGATCTAGTTGACAGTATGCCCCGGAGGCTCCAAGCGGTCATTGCAGCTAAAGGCCGACCTATAAAATATTGAATTTTTCACCTCTATTTCTGTGCCGCCAAGACTTTTGTCTATTGTTTTTGTGACCTTTTTGTTGTTTAAAATAAACTTTCTCGTTCAATGCTTGGTCATAGCTAAAAGTAGAGTAAAAATGCTCAAAAATACTTGTGACAACTTTTTTATAGCCTCTCGGGAAGGTTCCTAAATTTGTGTTTGAAAGTTGCCACCTAGGAGCCGCCAAGACTTTTGTCCATGACTGTCCATAACTTCATAAAGATTTCTATTTGATTTATATCATTAATGATTATTATTAGATATTAAAGTCTAGAATGACTTTCAATTTCTTAAAACTAGAATCTACTTTCTGAAGCACTGAAATCTAGGTCAAAAATGCATGCTTAAAACAAACTTTTAAATAAAGAAGTTCGTGCTTACTTTCTAAGTCTCACAAGTTGTATAGATACTTCTTTATTTACCTCTATCACTTCTAATCACCAAAATTTATGCATAATTTATGTTCCAGCCAAAAAAAAGTGTCCTTTCAAACTCTTTCCGAACTTTGTAATTTCCTGGATGCAATTTTTGCGCTTGCAACAAATAGCCTTGGCTTTCTAATGAAAAGTGCCGCCCGTTGCCCAATCAGCTGAATACCTACCGTAAATACTGTAATAGTACCCCACCCCCCTCGTACAGTCGCGTAGTCGTAAAAGTTTTTTAGTATTTTATTTTTTTAAAAGCACCCGTACTTTCAAAAAATGCGTCTTTGGTATCAAAAAATAGCCCTGAATTTCAGCTATTTTTTGATCCTAAAGCGCGCATTGTAGCATAAACCAGTGTCGAGAAAAACTCGTTCAAAGCTAGACTACGCAATACTCCGCACCGTCATTATGGGGGTGGGGTACTATTACAGTATTTACGGTAGTTTCGTGGGGAATTTCAAACAAAAGGGCACCTACGAGAAAGAAGCGAGACTTCGTAGCTTTCATAGCTGCCCCATTTCTTTGAATTTTTTCATAAAATTAAAAGATATTCAACAAAAGCTTAGGGAGAGACTTTGAAAGTATGTAGTGACGGATGTAAGTTCGACAAGTATCGTTATACTTATCGAATTTATTCATCTTAACGTTACCACTTTTCCCATCATCTACCACAATATTTTATTCTCAAAAACATTTTGAACAATTTTAGAATAAGAAAACGTTTGAAGATATGCACAAATGAAAAGAAAGGGTATGTCAAAGAAAAGAGCGAACCGAAAAAAAACAAAGAATTCTCTGGAATGATCTCAAAAACAAAAAAAAACGAGTAATTATCTTAAAATTCTTAAACATCTAAATCATAGAAAAGATAGATAAATAAAGATTTTTTGGGGTTTTTCGGGATAGTGGCTGAAAGCTTTGAATGAGCATTTGAGGCCAGGGAAAAGGGTCAGAGTGGTACTTTGTGCTGAAAAGTTTAAACGCAACCTTTTCTGTGCATTAGTTTTTCTTTTTTCGTCTTAAACTGAATGAATGAATGAAGAATCGGATTTGCCAGAAAGGTTTCATTTACAAGTTTAAGCACAGAGTACAGCTCAAGAAGGAGAAAAAAAAATCGAAAAAATATTCATGAAATATCTTTGTCATTTTTAATCAAATCAAAAAATATTCCATTTTGTCGGAAACAGAAGGAAGATTTAAACATTTAAACATTTAATATCTAGATTTTAAATCTATTCAAATACTTTGCATTTATGCTAAATGATTGGCCTAATATTTACAAGAATCAAGGAAAAATTTGAAAAAAAAAGGGAAAGAGTGACTCGTCTCATCGGGGAATACTCGTTCCGGGGGATCGGGAAAGAGAAAGAAAAAATGAAGAAAAAGTTGTAAATTCGTTGTAAATTGATGTAAACGTGAAACTATTTGAGCGGATCCTCTTGCGAATCAGCGGCTTTCAATCGAAGACGCGCAAAATCCTCAAAAATCAAATCATCATCCTCAGCGCCTCCACTCTCCTCTCTAAAAATTTTTAATAAGAAATATTTTTTTAATAAAAAAAAAAAGATCCTGTTATCAACATTTTAATCCTAAAAATTATTAAAAACAAAAGCCTAACAAGTTCTTTTCTTTTAAGTAAGACTTTTTGAGGAAAGTTTTATTTTTTGACTGAAACCCTTCATGGAGTTGAAGCCAAGAATGAGATTTTTTAAGGAAATTTGAGAATTAAACTATCTAGTTTCAATGTTTTACCTATAGGAATCTATTACTTCACTCACTTGTCATCAAGTTGAATGAGATCGATGTCAGCCACCTCGTCGTTACTGTTCGGATTTGCGTGAACGATGTTAACGATCGATGGTCGATCCTAAACCAAAATTTATAAAGTTATCGATTTTATTCTAAAATGGTTCATTAAATTTATTATCTAGTCACCTTACAGTATAACAAATTTCTATTAAACCTTTCTCTCCGGTGTCTCTGGTGGTTTCGAGTGGGTGAGAGTGAATGGCAACTCGGCGGTCAGTTCTCCACCGAGTGGACCTGGAAAAGAGAAGAGTTTTAAAACTAAGAAATATAATATAATAGCTATTTGATTAGTATCCTTTATTGTCTTTTAAATATCTACATTAAACCCAGAACACTCACCTTGTATCAACGCTCGAACTCTCACTTTGTACTGTACGATGATGCCAAGGTTCTCTTTTGGAGTTTTTGCTTCGATATCATAGCTGAAAAGAATATTATATAATTTTGACTATTGTTTATATTCGTTTAAAAAATTTAATTTTCTTACATTGTTGACGAGGCGAGATTCGTGTCCTCGTGTTTCAATTGACCATCAAGTGCGAGTCCTCGTTTGTCCTTAAAAGTTCTTGATATCAGAATGTTTTTGTAAACCTATGAACTTGAATACTACATTTTGATATTACAGTAAGATTATAAGTGTTTTATCATACCGCACCTTATTGTTGGTGAGAAGAGGCGTCAGTCCGAGCACTTTCGAGATCGTCGCTCCAGGTCCCACTGGGAAGCCCTCACTGAAAATTTGGCTAGGTTAATCTGCTAATTTAAACCTTTTATCAAATTTCATTTTAATATTTCCTTCTAAAATTGACAAATTACATTAATAATCCATTTTAGAAGCCAGACAGAAATTTGAACCAAAAGAAAGCCCAAGTGGCGCTTTTAAAGAAAAACTTCAAATCCATTTCATTTCAAAAATTCTATCAGCCATTAACTATCAAATTATTCTTTAAAATGTTCAGAAAATCCTCTTCTTGGTGATATTTTGATTTGTGATGATGACTAAAACCCAGAAATATCTTTTTAGTAAAAGGTTGCATCTAAAAAACCCCAAATTCAGAGCTGTGGCTTGGAGTGTCGCCCAAAATATTGCTTGATCTACAAACAAAAAGAAAATTTGTGTAAGACTAACACTATATTTTAGAAGTACATTCAAGAGATCGAAGACTTCTATGAAAAGCATCAAGCTATGATAAACGAGATGCGATAAACGGGAAAAAGTGCTAATTTCCTTGTCATCTTAGTCTGGTTTTTTTCGTTGAAAAGTAAATATTTAAACTATCCATCCCATTGTCACATTCAGGCTAATTTTGGGTATATTTCAAGTTATTAGATAGCCTCCAATTACACCTAAAGCTAAACCATTTCGAAAACGACACTATAGATTTATTCAGCATTGACACTAACAAGCTTATGGCCTAATTCGAACTTTCTAATATTCTAAAATCTAATATAAAGCTTTCTAATAACTCAATTTCAAACTAAAAAATAATTGTTCAGTCAAGGTTTAACTTTTTATTCATTAACCAAGTCAAGGTTTACTTATTTGTAATCAAAGTTTCACCAATTCTCGACTCGAGCCACTTCACAAGAGTATGAGGCGGTCGTGAAGAGGCAAATGTCAGCGACTTGAACCACAGATACCTGTAAAATTTTTATTGAGCTGCTTCTATTGAGTTCAGCTATTGATTAAGCTAATGCTAAGCCCTAACTTTTAAAATCAAACTTAACAACCCACTTTAATCTTCTTGACTGTTTTGTTGCTGTTGTTTTGGAGGTGAACGTTGACGGCGATTGTCTCTCCGTGATAATACATCTAAAAGCAAAGCTTGCATTGACTGTTATCGTTATTAAATTTGCAAATTAACTAACCTCTTTATCCAGTGAGCATTCCATATGCAACAATCCAGGACTCATCATAAACTCTTTTGAAACATCTTTTGTTGGTTGAGGTCTCGGCTCTCGCGGTGCATACGTCAATTTTCGAATCGCTAATCGCACCGAGTTGCTGAATAATAGGTATTTGACTTCCCTAGTGAATTTTCAAACACTTACTGTTTCTTTGGCTTGTCAGTTTCGGTTCCATTCACTGGACCGGAGGTAACGATCGTTTTCAACTCATAGTCAACACCACAAGGCTTTCCAGTATCACCAGGAGCTGGCTAAACATCAGTAATATATTTTTTAACTCAACAATTGAACAAACCTGTAATGTGACACTGCTGGCACTCCTTGGCGCCACTTCAAACCAAAAGGGAAACGCGTTTGGGCCGAGTTTCTTTCTCAAACGCTCTTGTAGTCTTGTCAACGGCCGTTTTGGCTGCGATTCATCTGGAGGGAACACCTAAAACAAAAAGAATAGTTATAGTTGTAAGATTTCGAACTGCATCTTCACAGAGATTAATTCATGCTTTTACACACTGACAATATCGAAATCTTTTTTACAAAAACTCACATGAAAATGTTGACTGATAAGATCTTTGCGGAAAGTGAGTCCCAACACATCTAAATCCTCTCTTCCGTATCGGAAAGCGGCCAAGAGATGAGCGGTGACCGTTTTGTTTTCTTTCACATAATCCTCATCAATAAGCACCATTCCATCTAAAAAATTGAGTAATCAATACTCATTTCGTAGGCAATGTTATGTCTAATTCAAAACACTCACCAATAAGATCGACATAATCTCCTCGATCGATGAAATCCCGCTTGCCGAGATAGGTAGTGATTTTTCCATTCGGTGAGGTCTTCTTGAAAACCCTAAAATTTAAATTTATTACTAGCTTACAAAAAAAGATTCTATTTAAAGAATCAACTTTCAAAAAAGCTAAAATAATAAATTTTTTAGCTCTAATTTGTTTCAAATCCATATTTTCTTGAACAATTATAGTTGCTGAACTTAAAACTTGTATTGGTTTTGATTTGCAAGCTTTACAACCAAATCTTGCAGATTGAAAAGTTTGCAAATCAAAATCAATACAAGTTTTAAGTTCAGCAACTATAATTGTTCAAGAAAATATGGATTTGAAACAAATTAGAGCTAAAAATTTATCATTTTAGCTTTTTTGAAAGTTTATTCTTTAAATAGAATCTTTTTTGTAAGCTGTGATTGATAATTTTAGTTCTAGCATTGTTTAGAATACTTCAATAGAAGATTCAATAGAAGTTTCAGATTTTTTTCTTCAAAATATCAAAATATATAAAATTAACCTGGTTCCTGTGTTTTTCTCCATTGTTTTTTTTTTCAAATTCTTGGAGTAATCAAAGCTCAGTTGTCAATATCATCTTTGGTGAGGTGCGGTTGCCCCTGAAAAATCATCGAATCGTTTTCAGAAAAAAAAAGAAAATATTTCTGGTGATTAAAATTGGCAAAAATTGGGGAAAGGTCACGAGTGAAGGGAAATGAAAGGAGAAAGGACACGAAAATAATCACAGAGAATGGGGGAAAACGAGCCGAGCTTTCGGAGGGGAAATGAATGCTTTCTTTCTCTTTTTCTGATAACAGCATTTTTGTGGCGATCAAAATATTAGAATTAGTTAGAAAATCCGCCGTGGAATTTGTTTTTGAGTAACCGAGAGAACTTGCAACAAGAAAATAGCTTTTGGTCTAAATTTTTTCCATAAGGTCAAGGGAATTTCTTCAAAGGGAATTTCAGAAGTCAGGGAATAGCTGGTAATGGCTGGCTTTTACTGAGAAAGTCTACTGAGATCCCTGAAGAATATTAGAATATTAGATTATAATAAACCCTGACTATAATAAAATCGATTACAAAATCTTGAAATTTAACATGATTCTTGCAGTAAAACATGAAAAGAACAAGTAAAACATGAACAGAACAAGCAAAACATGAACAGAACAAGTAAAACATGAACAGAACAAGTAAGCCAAGTTCATCATTGCACTTTTCTTATTCTAATTGAAATAATAATGAAATTTAGTCTGAATAGCTAAAGTCTACTGAGATCAATTCCTAAACTTAAAGTAAAACCACAAAAATATCTACTTCCCTTTTTATCAAACTTTGCCAAAAACAGGAAAATCTCGTGTCTCAGATAGTTCACCAGGTAAATATGAAAAAAGCTTTGCCCCCTTTTCCGGCTGATATCGATCGACCAAAACAGCGACTGAAAACAGAAATGAGAGGCTTCAAAAAAGGGAAAACTTACAAGTAGGGTGCTGGGAAATTTGAATGGGAAATGTGATGGATGTAGTGGTGAAAATTGAGCAAAAATTTAGTGAATTTCAGCTTTTTTTAATAGCGCAAACTTCCCGTGGCACAACTTTCGCTTTTGACGGTGCGGCGCAAGACTCGCGATTAATATAGGCGTCCTCATCGTCCCAAAGTTAAGGATGTTTTTGAGTGCACTAGAAAGAGTCCCATTTTTCAAGTCACGGTCCCAAAAGTCCCATTTTTCCATTTCCAAGCTCAAAGTACATCTAGGAGTACTTTGTGCTTTTGAAAAGGGAAACGCACCCTTCTGGCACACTGATTTGTTCTCTTTTTACGAAATTAGCTAGTAATTTGACTCTTTTCAACTAAAGATTAGTCAAAATTAAGTGAATTTTGGATCAATTTAATTTTGGGATAGCTTTCAGTAGCAATTTGGCTCTTGGATTTGTACCAGTTAGTTTTTAAAGGTTTGTAAAGAAAAAAAAATCCCAACTAGATATTTAGCTTCAAAAGATTTGTATATATAAAATGTACAAGCTCAAGTTGAACAATTTTGCTACAAATATGAACCGTGAAAAGCTAAAATCAACATTTTATACCAACAAAAATTGACCTTTTCAACTAAAAAATTTTTTAGGAAAACTTAAAGAACGATCAGAAAGTGATCTAGGAAACGAAAAATCGAATTTGGAAGAAAATTAAGTGAATTTTGGATCGATTTCATTTTGGGATAGCTTTTAGAGTAGCAATTTGTACCAGTTAATTTTTTTGCACGAAAGTACTAAACATTTTGTCGCCTTGCTTTATTTTTCTACTGATTTTTCTACAGATTCTAGCTAATTCCAGTGAAATTTGCTTTTAAATTTCCCATTTTGTCCCATTTCTCCCATGAACGGGTCTTTATCTTCGTTTTTTTTAATGTACAAGTGTAAGGAAATGTTTAGTACACGACAAAAAAACTTAAAGAACGATCAGAAAATGATCTAGGAAACGAAAGATGAAATTTGGAAGAAAATTAAGTGAATTTTGGATCAATTTCATTTTGGGATAGCTTTTAGAGTAGCTTAGAGAGCAATTTGGCTCTTGGATTTGTACCAGTTAATTTTTTTGCACGAAAATTATCAACGAAACGCATTTCAACTTTAACTTTTCAAACTGTCAACAAAATTTTCAAAATTTTCGTGAAAACACGAGTGAAACAATTGGAAATTTCGAAAAAAAAGAAGAAAAAATGACGGTAAACTAGGAAAAAGAAATGAGTTCTGGAAGGATGAAAAGTGTTTTGTGTATCGTCAAATTGTCAAAGTCACGATTTTTCATGATGACAAAATAACCACACCCCCAATTGATTCAAAATCAGTGGGAGAATGCTTGAAGAATCCCAATCAGTACTGATAAAATCGGAGATTTGATTTTTGAGAAGAAATTCAAAATGATAAAGCTTAAGTGGAGAAAACTCAAGGCGAAAGAAACTAGTTCAAAGTGTGCTTTGAGTTTGAAAATAGAAATACACGCCTTTTGGTGTATTCACTTCGTTTACCCGTTGCTACAAGAAAAATGAAGAATCTGATGCGCTAGAAAGGGTGCGTTTTGTAAATTCAGAACCTACTAAATACTTAAATAAGTCTAGAATTTTAAAAGGGAAATTGTTCATTTGATTTACGAACGATAAAATCCTTTCGTAAGATGATCTCTCGTTTTGGCAAAGTACTGAAATGACCTTGGGAACAATAAAATGATATCATTGTGACCTTTTTTTGGTTTTAAATTTGAATTGGAAGCATAAAAAAATCAGAAACCAGTGTAGCGAAAGGAATCAAAATGATTGAAGAATGATAATTTGCAAAATTTTTCAAAAAAAATGATTAATTTCTTAAAGAAAAGTTATAATTTTCTTCGAAATCTGTGATTATTTTTTATTCACTCAAAGCCTGTAATTCTGTTTTTTTTTCTTCAAGAAATTCTCAGTTTCAACGATAATTGGGTTTTCTTGAAAATGGAAAGTTGAAGTCCGATAATTTTGGAGATTTTGGAGATTCAATTTTAGATAAAATGTTGATTTATTGGTGAATAAATTCGAATTTTCAAAAAGTTTAATAAAGAAATTAAAGAAATGTTTTGGAAAACGATGAAAAAAACGAATAAATATATAAATATATATATATACTTACTATATACTAAAGAAGAAAGAAAGAAGACTAAAGAGAAAGAAGACGGCTAGCCGATGAAGTCTGAGAATTCTTCGGCTGAAATCCTTCATCGGCTACGACATATGCTTTATTCAGGGGCGAATAGAAGCGAATCAGATAATCATAATCGCATAACATATTGCTACAATACTTTCACAAAAAAAAAGAAAGAAAACTAGTACAATAAGACTACAGTTAGGAAACACAGGTACAAAAAGATTAAATAAAGGACAGACATGGCAATAAGATCTAGTTCGTTTACAGATACTTTCAATTTTCTTACAGACGAGAAGATACCAGAGCTTATTCTAAACTCTACTAATAAGATTCGCAAAAGAATGATAAAGGGAAAGATGATGGGGATGAGAATCGAAATCTCAATCGTTTACAGATTGACCGACCGAATCGAGAGAATTCTATTGATATTCGAAATTTGATAAGGATAACTACGTGTACTTCTAGCAATTTCCACAATTTTCAAGAGGCTTTCAAATTCTGGATACGACTTATTATAAATATTTTTAAAACAAGTATAGAAGGGGAATTGGGTGAGTGCAGACATGGCAATAAGATCTAATTCGCTTACAGATACTTTCAGATATAGATACAGATATTCGTTTACAGATATATATTTCAATTTTCCTACAGAAGAGAAGATACCAGACGGGAGCTTATTCCAAACCCTACTAATACGGTTTTCTTGAAAATGGAAAGTTGAAGCCCAATAATTTTGGAGATTTTGGAGATTCAATTTTAGATAAAATGTTGATTTATTGATGAATAAATTCGAATTTTCAAAAAGTTTAATAAAGAAATTAAAGAAATGTTTTGTAAAATGATGAAAAAAACGAATAAAAAAGAAAAGGTGAAAAGTTGATATTTGCAAATCCGACAGGGGAATTTGGTCGGAAAAAATGAAAGCGAAAACAGATGTTTACGATTTTACTGAAGAGAAAACAAGCCAAGAAGCTTTTTGTGATATGCAAAGTCAAATATTGTAGAGTTTGTTACAGTATGAGAGTGATGTCTAAAGAGTCTAAAGAGCATTAAGTTATTGTAGTTTATCCAGGTACTTTAGTCATTTATCTCAAAGCTACTCTAACTTATACAGTTTATCGCGGATTATTGTAGCATTTCATTTGATAAAATGAAATCTTACTGTAGCTTATCTAGTCTATTGTGACTTTAATCATTTGAGACCACAGAGCGTTGAGTTATTGTAGCTTTTAAGGCATTTTTTTAAACGCTTTGAGTCCACGAATTCTGCTAGACAAAGACAAAATGATTATAAAAAACGCAAAAACTGGTCACGCGATCCTTTTTACGCCATATTATACTAGATTTGTAGCTAAACTTTCACACTTTCTTGTGCGCTTTTTTTGTGAAACGTCAGCAATGGACTTTTGAAGACTAGAATGAGCAAAGAACCGAGGAAATTCAAATAACGATGGGATTAGAAATTAATCTACGTAAATCAAATTTTCGTCTAAACTTTTCAAAACCATTTCCAGGGCTTTGTAAGCTTCGAAATTTCAAAGCAAAAAGATATCTATATAATTTTTTTCTCAAATTTCAAATAATACAAAAATTTCAAAAGTTTCCCCTGAAGGATTTGTTAAAAAATTCAATAAAGAAAAGTTTGTAGATGAAATTTTCTCATTAAAATGCAATATGTCATCCCAGGAGACATATTGATTGAAGAAGTAAAAAGGAAAACAAGAAATTTTATGCCCAAATGTGCCCAAATGTTGCCTAATTGAAATTCGAAGCTGATGAAGTTGAAAGGAATTGAGAAGTAAAGGATGCAATTGTAGATATTCTACAAGTGTACTCAAAAGAGTAGTGCACTGAGTGCTTCATGGTTCTCGTGGC